ATTTTTATTTAAAAAACTGCTAAAGATCTGAATATACAACACCCCTATGACCTTCAATTCCACTCCTCGGAAGAGACCCAGAGATGGAAGCGCAATTGCCCACAAAGGACACAGAAGAATGTTTACAGCAGCTTTCTTCCTATCAGACCAAAAATGAAAAGAACTCAAATGTCCAACAACAGGAGAATAAACAAACTGTGGTATTTTCAAACAGTGGAACACTTCCAACAATAAAAGGGAACAAACCACTGATACACGACAACAACATGACGTTCAAAGACACTACACTGAGCGAAAGCCAGATACCGTATGCTTACTCTTACGTGAAGGTCAAGAATAGGCAGAGTAATCCCAGTGACAGAAATCAGAAGAGTGGCTGCCTGTTTTGGGGGGAGGAGGCGTGAAGTGAGGGGATTGACTGGGAAGAGACATGAGTGAGTTTTCTGGAGTTCTATTCTAACAGAATAAAAATGTTCTATTACCTTGTCTTGGATATTGGCTACAGGGGTGTATACAATTGTCAAAACTTGGCCAACTGAACACTTTCAACCTGGGACTTATGTAAATTATATTTGCCCTATTTTTTTTTTTTAAGTGAGAAAGAAAAGCCTGAATCCAGCTGCCAAGACAGGAGTGTGAGATCATACAATGACTGGGGCTACTTCTAAAATGTCAGAACGACAAACAACAAGATGAGAGAATGCCCCAGGGGTTCAGTGCCTGGCAGGCTGGGCTTCTCTCCTGCACCAGAAGGGCTGCCAATGAGAAGTCAAAGTCAAGCCACCAGAATGCCACCCCTGTCAACCCCAGAATGAGGACCACGGCCAAGACACACAGGCAAAAATCGCCATAGACTCTTCACCAAATTTATTCCTGCACGTGGCTTTTTTATTCCTGTTACTAAAACTCTGGCCAAACTTACTGGCCAAATGGTCACCTGAGTTACTCTAGTGTAGACCACTGTGGTACATATCAGACACGGAGGCTATTAGGATGCCAAGCGTACCTCCTTCAGAGGTTGGATGAGGTTCATGGGTACAAAATAATGGACTTAAAAAGGGACCCTCTTAGGATTTAAGGGACCTTCAGAATAGACCCCTCTGGCTTTAACCTAGTTATAATGGCATGACTTCCAAGATCCAAATCTTCATCCCAATCATCACTAGATGGCATCCCCCCAAATAGAATACAGGAAAACATCAGCTACTAATGAAGGACATCCTAGTCACAAAGCCCACTTAACTATATCTGGAAAGGGGAAGAATTTCTTATATTTCTTATATTGTCATCATTCTTCTCTTAAAAAAATCATTGCAGATGATTTGACTTTCTCTTTGTGGAAAGCACCTGAATTTGAAATCAGGACACTGGTTCAAATTCAGGCTTTCCCACTTGTTTGCCATGATATCACAGGCAACCTCTGGGAGACTCACCCTTCTCCTCTGTTAAACGGCTCTATCTTCCCTCCTACCTCGGAAGGTTATTGAGAGAACCACACCAAACGATATCAACGAAAGTCCCTTTGTAAACCACAAAATGCTACATAAACAGTTGTATTATTTTTAATGATAGGTACTTCTTTTGGGAGGGAGCAGCTTGTTATTACAAAGTGAATGTCACAAAATGAATTTCACTAGGTCTGGTACCAGCATTTTGTTCTTACGCTTGTGACACACCTGAATTTATGGCAGCTGGAAGGGATACCCCAAATGTAAGAATAATCTGCAGGGATATTTTTTCCAAAGCTTCTCCAAAAAGAATTCTTTCTGGAGCCCACGTTAGGAACTCACTCTGTGCTAACCATTGACACACACGCGTGTGTGGGATGTCTGCCGTCTGCCCGTCCAGATCCCCTCTCCACTCTCTCCACTCCGCTCTCTTCCCAGGAGGCTGACCTATGAAGACCGTATCAATGGGGCTGCTTTGCCCTCTGGTCTCTAGTTAAGTTCAGCCAATGGGGAGCCCTAGCAGAAGACCTGAGGGAGGGAGGAGAGTGAGGGTGGGGTTCTTATTCTCCTGGTTCCTTCTCTGCAGCCTCAGGCTGGCTGTGTCCCTCAGTGGAAAGCTACAGGTCCTCTCAAGGGGACCTCCGGACAGTCCAGATTCTGGCCATGGCTCCCTCCTCTCCCATCAGGCCTAGGGACAGCAACAGCTTCACTGTTCCCTACTCTTGCACACACCTTTGTGAACAGGCTCTTTATCAACCTCTCATCAAATTACAATTTTATTGCGTCATCTGTGTCCTGCTGGGACCTTGACCGATACAATTTCTCAATAAAATTTTTCCTTATATCTAACGTCAATTTTTTCTGTTCTTTAAGCCAAGTTCCTATTGTTCTCACTTCAAATGAATCACCACTTGCTCGGTGAAGTGAATACCATGGATTACGGTTCCTGAATCCCAAGGAAGCCAATTCATCACTGGGATTTTCTCTCAAGAAACAGAAAAGCCTGAGTTGATGGAGAATTGTGCTTCTGAACTCGTATTTTAGACATGAAAGACAATGGCACCCAAAAAGTTGAGGGCTTGCCCCACTGCAGCCTGTGGCTTTTAATGGAAGGACACAAAATCCATCCATTCAAGGGTAAGATGCAGAATCTAAGATCCAAAGAGCCGGTCCTCTCACAAGGACTGGCCACAGGTGTTAAGCCTTTTGTGCTTTGGGTTTTATTGTTACTAACTTGAATCATGAGTATTTTATGATACTTTAATGATACCAGGTGATATATCTTATGATACCAGGTGGCTTGATGCAAAAGGTATTATACTTTCCAATTCGGTATTGGGAATTCACCTCGACTCTGATCTCTTGCAATTGTGCCCCAGGTTCTTTCCAGGTCTCAAGTAATTGACCCACTGAAAGAATGTTCGGGGAAGCTGAGACTATCAAGAAGCAACATCACCTTCAATTTGCCTATTCTTAGCTCCTAAAAGTCCCTCATAATCCCCATCACATAACATCATTAAATAATTATGCCCGTCACAGCTTGGTATTGTTGAGTGTCTTTTTTGACACAAGATTTCATTCTCTAAATAGGTTGACCTTTTCCTATTGCCTAAGGAATTTTATTTTGTTTCTTACTTCCCTACTGTTCCAAGCTCAAGATGCAACTCAAACTCAACTATGCGTGTTTAAATGAATGAATAGTTCCAGTGATTATGCGAAGGTAGAGGAGTTTAAAAATGAATAGGTTTAAAACAGTGAATTGAACGTAAGCATTTACTTCTACTAATTCCTGAAAACCCATTAAAATGGCAGTAAAGGGAAAATTTTAAATGCAGAAATCCACAAAGACGGAGAGAACAGGAAAATAGTGACAAAATTTGAGAAGCTAGAAAGCCTACAGGCAAGTGAGAGTTGGCTGAGTGGCCCTGAGAAAACCTCCAATGGCAATGAGGAAAGCCAAAACTCAACAGGATGCACTCCTCAGAATCTCCAAATGTTCACAGTGGGTGGCACGAGGTACCTCTGAAAATGAAAGCGAGCCTAAAAACAGGACTGAGAGTCTAGGAAGCAATTAGAAAATGGTACAACCACTATGGAAAACTATTGGCAGTTTCTAATAAAGTTAAACGTATAGTATCCTATGACTCAGCAATTCACTTTTAGGCATATACGCCAGACAAACTAATGCATATATCCACAAAAACACACGTACAACAATGCTCATAGCAACCGGTTCATAATAGTTAAAACCTGGAACCAACTGAAATGTCCAAGAATAGGAGACTGGATGAACAAATTGTGGTAGACTCATAAATGGAATAAAACTCAATGCTATGGTCTGAATGTTTGTGTCCTCCCGAAATTCCTGTGTTGAAATCCTAACCCCCAAAGCCACCGTATTAGGAAGTGGGGCCTGTGGGAGATGATCAGGTCATGAGGACAGAGCCCTCACGAATGGGATTAGTGAATTTGTGTGTGTGTATTTTTTTCTATTTAAAGCATCAAAAGCTCACTAAATTCTTTCCTCATGAGGAGAAACTTCTCAAAAACTTTTAATTTAAAAGAAAAATTTAATACAAACACTGCCTCAGAATCTTTTTCTTTCACACTCATTCATCTTTTAATTTCCCAAGAAAATATCACTGGTTCTCATTTAATTGCTACGCCTTTCTTTTTTTCCACATGCAGCCTTTTGATGCTGCTCAAAATAAATGAAAAACAAAATACCCTTTCCTCCAGTGGGGCAGAAAATCTGAACCAAGGACACAAAAACATAGGTGGTTTTAATAATAAAATTATTATTAAATAATTAATACTTAATGAATGAATGAGTGATTCTATCAATCATCAATGAACAAATGGAAGAAAATTGATTCTTTATGATAAACAGTACATGGAGGTATCATGCATCCTTACTAATATTCTGGAACACACACAGACAGGCCCTGAGAGGCAAACACCAGATTTACTACCATGGCTTGCGTGAAAATGGCTACCACCAGTGCTCCTGGTGGGAACTCACCACCACTTCCCGGGGAAAAAAGGTGGGAAGGGTTGAGATTCCTGTCCCCTTGTTACAAAGGAAGAGCAGTGAGGGTGACTGGTGCGTGGGTGGGAGAACAAAGCACTCAGTCCTTAGAATTCAGGTTCCATTTTCCCATTGGAACAAGAACATTGTGTGATCTGGCTGGGAATCCAACCCACATTTTAACCTCTATGTTTGCAGAGACATGGAGTCCAAGCTCCAAACTACTGATTAGTCACTGGGTAATAAGAAGAACGTCATAGGATCCATGACAGTTAAGGTAACGGCTTATTTGACTTTTAACATTTAAAATTTTAATTCGGTTTGGGAAAGCACTTTAATACGAAGATCTAGAATCATGAGCAAAGTTATCCAAACACAACACAACGGCGCTGGAAAAAAACAACTGAAGACAAGACACCAAACTAAAATCTTTCTGAACTAGTCCAGCAAAATGAATGTTTTGATTGACCACGCAGCACCACGGCAACCAACAAAACATAATAAATCACAACAACTCACAAAGCTCAGCCTCTTGCTGCTTTAAACCTGCTTCGGGAGCTCACACATGCACTGACTTGGTTGGCCTGGGCGCCTTTAATCCTTAGATCCCAAGAGAACCTATTCCCGGGCTTCACTCCCTTGACACCCTTTAAACTTCTTCCAGAAGCTTGGCAGATATATTACCAATGTCCAGACTGGTTCTCCTTGCCAACAAGCCAAACACAGGCCCGTTGCTGTGAACAGAACCAGCTGTCTCTCTTTGCTCTCAAAGATGTTTAAGCGTCAGGTTTACTAGTGTTATTATGGCTGTCCCCAGATCTTCTTATTATAAAGTGTTTAAAATATACTAATAACATTTATTTCTAATTCCTTTTTCAACAGGAAAGGCTCCTTCCTCTCCTCACCAGAGTAAGACACAAAGTTACACAGCTTCGAGGTAAGCTAAAAGCACTTATCACTAAGAGTTGCTAATTCCTGGTGAAATTGTACAAATCTCAGGGGTACTTTCAAGGTTCCTTGCTTGTGAAGAGGATATTCTGCCTTATCTGGGGTCCTTTTTCCTTCTCTGGCAGATCCCCAGCCTCCTAGGGCTCCCTTTCAGCACATCGCCCCTCATTTCGCAGGAAAGTGACTTTCCCCACGGCCCAAGGAATCAGGCGTAGCAGCTAAGGCGATGCTTTCAGTGTGTATTGGCTTCCACTATTCCCCAGTACAAACTTAGACAGCTCTGCCACCCCTAATTTAACATGTTCTCATCAAGAATGTGGCTGAAGACCAAAAGGAAAACAGCCTAATGAGGGTCTCAAGAGAAATAATCAGAGGACGACGTGACACATGAGATGTGCTATTCGAACGAGGTCAAAGAGTCGGGACCGCGCTCTGCTACGCCCCTTGGGAAGAAGGCAGCAGAAGTCAATTTGAATCTGAAGTCAAGAAAGGCAGCAGAAAGTTTAACAACATTGCAGATCTATGATTCTTGAGACTTCACTTTTTTTAATCCATTACTCTTTCCTCCTTTCCTGTGTGTTTCTCCAGTTTTCATTCTTTGCCTGATTCTAGCTCCTTCTCCACTGCTGTTAGCTTCTCAATGTTCAGCAAGTTAGAGTCAGATCTTATGACTCCCCAGCAAGAAGGTCACAGCTCTTGAGAAGCTATCCAGAGTCAACAGTCTCCAGAAATGGCCACCATCAAGTCCTTCCCTCTCTGGGCTCACAGGCTGTTTCTCACATCAAGAGGTGGAGTCCAATACATACGATGGAATATTATCCGACCTTAAAAAGGAAGGAAATACTGACACATGCCACAGCATGAATGAACCTTGAAAACATTATATTAAGTGAAATGAGCCAGATACAAAAGGCTACACCTGTATGATTCCACTTATCCAATGTACTTAGAGTAGTCAAATTCATAGAGACAGAAAGTAGAATGGTGAGTATCAATGGGGGAGGAGGAATGGGGAGTTATTGTTGAATGGGTACAGAGTTTCTGTTTGGGATGAAGAAAAAGTCTGGAAACGGAGAGTGGTGATGGTTGCACAGCGTTGTGAATGTACTTAATGCCATTGAATAGGACACTTTCAAAGGGTTAAATGATAAAATTTAAAATAAGTATATTTTACCACAATTTTTTTTTTTGGTGAGGAAGATTGTGGCTGAGCTAACATCTGTGCCAGTCTTCCTCTATTTTGTAGGTGGGACGCCGCCACAGCATGGCTTGATAAGTGGTATTTAGGTCCAAGCCTAGGATCTGAACCTGTGAACCCTGGGCCACTGAAGCAGAGTGCACAAACTTAACCACTACACCACCAAGCCGACCCTTACCACAAATTTTTTTTTTTTTTTGGAATATCAGCCCTGAGCTAACATCTGCCACCAATCCTCCTCTTTTCACTGAGGAAGACTGGCCCTGAGCTAACATCCATGCCCATCTTCCTCTACTTTATATGTGGGACGCCAACCACAGTATGGCTTGCCAAGAGGTGTTAGGTCTCCACCTGGGATCCAAACCAGTGAACCCTGGGCCACCAAAGCAGAACATGTGAACTTAACCGCTGTGCCACTGGGCCAACCTCGCTTACCACAATTTTTTTTTTTTAAGATTTTATTTTTTTCCTTTTTCTCCCCAAAGCCCCCAGGTACATAGTTGTATATTCTTAGTTGTGGATCCTTCTGGTTGTGGCATGTGGGACGCCGCCTCAGCGTGGCTCAATGAGCAGTGCCATGTCCATGCCCAGGATTCGAACCAACGAAACACTGGGCCGCCTGCAGCAGAGCACGTGAACTTAACCACTCGGCCACAGGGCCGGCCCCTTACCACAATTTTTAAGAATCGCAAAATAAAAAAAAAAGAGGAGAATAAGCAGAGTCAAATTCCTAATTCCCCTCCCCTTGATTCTAAGCTGGCCTTAGGAACTTGGTTGACCACTAGAAGGTAGCGGGAGTAACATTTTGGGACATCCAAGGCTAGATCCTAAGAAGCTTGGGTTCTTAGAACACTCGTCTAAGACGCTCCGTCTAGAACCCAGCCACCATGCTGGGTGGCTGTTACACGGGGAGGTCATGTGTTCATGCTTTAGTCAACAACCATTGCTGAGCTCCAAGCCACGTCTTTTATAAATATTTACACAAATTTAAGGATGAAATGTGGTGAGGGCTGGGATTTATTTCAAAACAATCCAATGGCAAAGGAGAAGAGAAATGGTTGGGGGAAAGATGAGACAAGTGGGAACATGCGTTGATGATTATTGTGATGGACAATGGACACAAGGAGACTGTCGTATTTCTCTGAGATTAGGAGTATATTTGAAAATTTCTAAATCAAAAGAAGAAAGAAGAGGAGGAGGAGAAAATGGAAGAGGAGAGGGTTGAGAAGGAGAAGAAGGAAAAGAAGAGGAGGAAAAGGAAAGGGGATGGGGAGGGGAGAAGATAAAGGAGAGGGAGGAGGAGGAGAAATAAACCAATTGGACTCAACTCTTTACAAAGTCAATTCCTGGGAAAAGAAGAAAATGTGGCAGAAAGAATATTCTAGAATCCAAAAGACTAAAGAGAGAGAGGGTAATCAAATCAAACGACTGAAACTTGATTGGGGCCTAGATTAAAAAAAAAAAGAACTAGGTTACACAGGGGTATTCACTTCTTGATAATACATCAAGCTGTATACTTACATATACAGAAATGTGCACAAATCATACTTCAGGTAAAAAGCTTTTTGACTAAGAAAAAGTTACATGACACTTGGGAATAATCATGGAAATTTAAATATGGGCTGAATATTAGATGACATTAGGAAATTACTGATAATTCTCTTAGTAATGATAATGTTATTATAGCGAGGAAGAAGGATATCTTTGTTTAGGAGACGCCTCCTAAAGCAAATCGAGGTGAAGTACCATGAAGTCTGAAACTCTGAAAGCATTCAACATAAAATATATTACTTATGTATAGACACAGCAAAAATGGCAAAATGTTAACAGCTACTGAATGAAAGTGGAGGGTAGATGAGAATGCACTGTTATTTGCTCAACTTTTCCATAAGTTTGAGAATCTTCATAATAAAACTTTGAAAAAATATTGAAGAGACTTTTGCAGGGACAGAAGCAACAAGGAGAAGAAGCATTTGCCTACCGGCTAAGACTAGTGAACTTCTTTCTAAAAGAGCTGGATGATCTGCCTGGGGGACAGGGTGTCTGGTGGTGGCCTGTTCAGTTCAAAATCGAGTGTCCTTTTTTGGCATAACAGGGTCATCCGCCTGCTTCTCTCCAGCACACCCCAAAATAAGGCCTACCCATCACTCAAAGCCACTCAGCTGCACAGAGCACCCAGAGACAGACCCACACAAGCAAGAGGGTGATTAAGAGCATGAACTCTAGACACAGACCACCTGAGATCACATGCCAGCTCTGCTACTCCTAGCTATGAGACCCTGGGCAAATTACTTAACCTCTCTGTGCCTTGGATTCCTCAGAATGAGGACACTAATAACACCTCATAGGATGAGTGTGTTGATACATGCATCCCAGTTATGTGTGTATCATTACTAATATTACCTACTTAGTTCTTTAGTCATAACTAGGATGAACAATCAAGGATCAACAGACACTCAAAAATCTAACAGCACAAAAAAGAAGGACCAAGATGTCACCCAGAACCACTGACTCCCAGAAAGAAATGTAGATTACTCACAGAATATAAAAGAAAATGTACCTAATATGTATCTTCAAAGAGATGGAAATTACAGCATACATTAAACAAGAACAGCTGCTATGAAAAAGGAGAAATCAGGGGCCTGCCCCGTGGTGTGGTGGTTAAGTTTGTGCCCTCTGCTTCGGCGGCCCAGGGTTTGCAGGTTCAGATCCCGGGCGTGGACCCACACACCACACATCAAGCCATGCAAGTGTCCCACATACAAAACAGAGGAAGACTGCCACAGATGGTAGCTCAGGGACAATCTACCTTACCAAAAAAAAAAAAAAAGGATAAATCAGAGATTAAAAAAGAGTTTCTGAACATAAAATATATAATTCTCAAAATAAGTACTTCAACAAAATGGCAGGACAAAACAATTTCAATATCCACAACCTAAATAAAAAAGACAAATAAATAGAAAACGTGAGACTGAAAAGTTAAGAAACAAGTGCAATTCAAGAGGAACGACACATGATTATTAGATGTTCTAGAAAGAGCGAGTAAATGGAGGGAAAGAAATAATCAAAGGAATAACAAAGACAACTGCTCAGTATTGCAGAGAGACACATCTCTTCAAATTAAAAGAGCTCAAATACTCAAAGAACAAAAACACTCAAAAAGGATAAAGGAAAATGACCCACATCTAGACGTATTCTCATGTAATTTCAGAAGACTCTCAGAAAAATAATCTGAAACTTGGAAATAGGCAAAAGAGATTACTGGATATTTTATTTACTTATTTCTTTATTTACTTGGCTATGTTACAACTCTGTAGAGTCAGAGTTTAAGTTGTAGGTTTTTTTCAGTAAAGATGAAAATAAGTTCTGTCCAATGGAACAGAAAACCTCCAAAGTTACAGTTTCCAGCCCTGCTGGATGTCAAACAGCTCTGTATCTATCTCAGCAATCTTCTCTTAACATTGCCTGTAAGTACGTAGTTTCTCAAAGGCTCTTTGAACCAGTTTTCCCTCATTAATGACACAGGTTCATTTTACATTTGCCTGTGAGTCATGATTTTATCTTTTTGAAAATTAAACTTTATAAATACGAAAGTAAAGATCCTAAAAGCTTCCAGATAGAAAAAAAGAGGTTGCCTATTAAGCAACAAGAATCAGGTCAGCATCGCGCTTCTCATCATGACAAAGTCATCAAGCAATGCCTTCAAAACTTGGAAGGAGAGTTATTTTGAACCCAGAATTCTCTATCCAGCCAATCCATCATTCAAGTGGGAGCGCAAAACAAAGACACAT